CCCCCCCACTCCGGTTCCACTCACTTAGTTCCAGCACTTTTTTCTTCACTTCCAATTTCAAAATCACCTCCTACTCCTTTCTTTCCTTCATTTTATTCCCCTCGTTTGTCGACCTTCTAAATTAGGAAAAGTCACTCGTACCCTGGTTAGCCTTAGGAGATTACTTGAAAGTCTATTGATATTGCACTAGACTAACTTGAAAACGTCCTAATGTCTGGATTAATACCACTTTTTCGACAATTTGGCCAGCTCGGGTCCTTTGTGTAGAGTTTTTTATATTATTTGATTTGTGTGCGATAGATTTACATCCACGTGGCGCACTCTAGGCAACGTATACTCATACGACAAAAAAGTCTATTAACTGGCAGTTGACTTCTGACTTCAAACTACCATCACCCCACTGTATGTCATATTCGACTACTTCCCCAGTACTCACGTCACCTTTTTTCTACTTTTGTCTTTGGAACACTTCTGTCCTCCTCCTCTCCTCTCTAGACTATTTTTCACTTTGATGTTCCCCCCCCCTCTCTCTCTCTCTGTGAAGCCTGGAGTCAACTTAAGGGCTAATGATAACCATCAAGACGCCTGCCATTTGATATAAATATATATTATTTGATCTGAGATGGTAAGATAACCATGTGAGATATTTAGATACCGTCTCTTCTGACGTTAATTAATGCGTTACGGCATAAACGCATCTGCCTGAAATACGCATATGAAATGAAGACCCTATTTTAAATTTTAATTAGCAAGGCTTTCCCAAAAGCCACCCAGCTGTAAATCGCTTTGATGTTTCCCTTGTAACCCTTCCGCCTCTTCCTTCCTTTTGAACTGCGCCGATAAGGTAACATAGTCTTGGCTTTTTTCATCGTCATATTGAGAGGAAACTTTGTGCTTCCACTACAATCTAAAAATAGCCATCATTTGTTTAATGTATTGACTGCTAAGCACATCCTGTCAGTTGTATACTGAGATCTACAACTGCATAAAGCATCATGTTAGTCGTTACCACATTCTCAGACCGTATGGCTCAAGTTTATTTATTGATTATTACGAGATTTAACTTATGGTTCTGCCTGAAGGGACCAGAACCCTGCTTTCACGGTTAATATAGGCATAATTGAGCCCTACTAGTATCAATTCAGTAGGTTACACATTGGATGTTCACTGAGAGCCATTGAATTCATCCGCATCAAATTCTGCTCTCTGCTATTTTATAGCTATCTTACCATCTTAATAATCTATACTTTAGAGTAGATCCTGTCTCTTATAAGTGGCAACCAGTTTAACCAAATTTGAATCGATAGGTCAATGACTAATAATGGTTGTGGCATATCTAACTGGTTAAAATGTGGTGTCTAAAACTTTCGCAACTATTTCTTGACGATCTATTTCTCTCCCAAACTCCCACGACTCATCTTTTGTAGTGTTAATGATATGTGGCACCTCATTTATTAGAAACTCACACTTTGCCACCGGAATTAACTAGGGCTCATCCTCGTCAAAATACATCAACAAACAATGTTCTCATAAGCTTTGACTTAATAGATAAGCGCATTAGTCATTGCACCATTGCTAAACCATTTTTGGTTGCTATTTGAGGAACCTCAACACTAATATCCACTAAATACGATTCATAGAGCATGACTTATAAACTCTCTGAGGCTTACTATTGATTACGAATTCCATTTTAGATATCACGTTTCACCTTTCAGCCTCTGGTGTCCTCCACACACTTCTTGATATCAAGATTTCGTTGATCTTTTACTCAGAAGATCGTCTAATCTGATGACTGGAAGCTTGGCCTCTAATCAATTAAATCATACCAAGGAAGATTTCATTCTTCCATTTTTATAAAGTATTGCTCTTAATTCAATTTGTCAACTGAACACCCATTAATTCGAGACAATTAAGACAGGTCCAAGGTAAACTTAACCTCTGTAGTGGGATATAAACCCACTCAATAAATTGATGAATTATACACCCGCTACGAATTAATTTACGAATACCGCCTACATGCACCGAAGGACCATCATTTGAGTAAACTAGCCACATGAAAGATATCGGTTTCAACCAAAGGCTGAGATTTCAGTTTCTTTCAAAAAAAGACTTCATTAGTAAAGATGCAAAAACAGGATAGGTGCCATAATAGTATCAGGAATTTACTTGAATAATGCAGTAGAATACATACCCATTCACTCACTCAACTTGAGGTAGTAAAGGCGCTTTTAAAACCGTTCAACGTTTCTGTTTTACACAAACATCATTATAATGATTCATTCAAGATGAAACATAAAACTTGCTGTTTATATAGACACATTGGCAAAAGCGTTTTCCTTGGGCTTAGGAAAAAAAGTGGAAACACGAGGTCAGGGGATTGGGGGAAGGGGGGGGAAGTAGTGTGAAAGAAAGGGAGTAGGAGTATTCAACACTTTGGCTTTAACAGGTAAAACGATTTTCCAATTCAACACTCCTTCTTGATCCGTGCTCCCACCATGTTAGGAATATCCATGTCATTTCCTCCCCCCACTCCTCCCACTATATTGCTGCCTGATAGGGCTAAGTCTTCATCCGCAACGGGGAACTGGGGATGTTTCTGAGCTGCTGCGTTGACAAAGAATGGTGAGCTGGTATTGTTGTTGCTGGCATTGTTATTTGCATATTCTCCATCATAGGAAGAGTTGACATTTTGCCGCATTAGTTGAGACATAGGTTGAGAAGATGATACTTTTGTAGCCGACCAGCTACTTGTCAACAGACCGGAGTAGAAATCCGTTGGTGCTACTCCCGAGGGTTGATTTGAAAATGGAGTTAGCGTTGGCTGTCCAGGAAGATTTTGCTGGGGAGGTGGCGGAGGAGTTGATTGAGTAGAGTTTGTGGGATAATTGAACCTTGGCGCTTGTGGAGATGACTGCTGATAGCAACGGTCATTGAACCATGTGGAATCGAAGCTACCGCCATCTTCATAGAATCGCTTAGGTTGAGAGGAAAGTGATGTCATAGATGGACTTTTTGGTCCACCACTTGTAGGTGGGAGATACTTTGGAAAGAAGGGTAGAAACCGAGATGTCATCATTGGATCGGCACCAACACCACCTACATCAAATCCATGCCGATTTGGACCAAACTGCATAGAGTCTTGATTACGCATAGAGAAGTTCTGGTTGGAGAGGGTAATGAGTGGGGGTTCTGAGAGACGTTGCTTATTTCCTGGTAGACAATGCTCCTTTTTCCATTTCATTCGACGATTCTGAAACCATATTTTGATCTGTCTTTCAGACAAACTGAGAGTATGTGCAATCTCCAGCCGCCGTTTCCTCGTAAGATACTTATTATAATGGAACTCCTTTTCAAGTTCAAGTATCTGTTGACGAGTATAGGCAGTACGAGTACGTTTAGGATCGCCAGAAGAACCCACCATATCCAAACTCGTATCATCGCCACCTGTTCCACTAGCGGTATCACTATCTTCACTGCCCTGATTCAGCGAATCCACTGATTCTGACATATTTTCCATCTTATCTGAATCAGAGAAGGCCTTCTTAGAAGACAGCGCCTCATCTTCCAGCATACGTTTGCGACTTTTAGCACCGTCATTGGGTTTATGCGAATTGGAATTCACTTGTTTACCCGATTTCACTGGACCTTGTGCAACTAGGCCTAAGTGGAAAAAGAAAGAAAGCCAAGCGTTAGTGATAATGGTACTTTCATATCTGCACCAACGACATATTAATCAACCCCTGTCTCTCCCAGGCCGTTCACTAGAACTCCTACAACCAGTAAGTCTAGTTGTAGCACTTATGCGCGTCTAATTCGTCTGTGTTAGTCAGTGTCTAAAAACGACGTTCGTCTCATGAGCACGAGGTAAGCAGATAGAGTTGAAAGATTTTGGCAGTTTTCATTCAAACTTTCAAGCACAAAGATAATCCACAGAGCTCACAATTTTAGACAGTTTGCTTGTTTTTTTTATTTCCACCCACAGATGCTATTGACAAACCTTGTTCGGACAAGAGTGGGCAAGGATTGTATTCAACAATTAATTAAGCAAAGTTGGTAAAAACGAAGCGTAACAGGTTATTTTACCTCCTCGGGTAATGCCACGTTCCATTCCACCTTACAAATGTGTGAATCAGTCTTAGACAGAAAATTCTTTTAAATTATTAGGAAATTTAAAATTCGAACGATAAACTTCTATAAAAAACATTTAATTCAAGTGACTATAGCCACCGATATTAGCTATTTAATCTATAGAAAAAAAATTAGCATGAAAGGAAAAATTTTTATTCACTATTTTCACTTCCATTACTGAAAAATTATGGCCCAGGTCTTTACATTTCATGCAATTTCTCAACTATTTTGGAACAGAAATCACTTACTTCTGTCCACAAATAAAAACGGATTGCCTTACTTATATTGATATGGAAATAAATCAAAATATTTTCACTGTTCCGGATCCAAGTGCATATGAATATTTATTTATTTATTGCAAATGGCAGGCGGTTTGATAGATATCATTAGCCATTTAGCTGACTTCGGGCTTCACAGAGGGAAGGTTCATCAAAGCAGCAGAAAGTCGAGGGGTGGGGATCAGAAGAGCGATTCACATATGTAAAAGAGGCAGACAGACACAAAGGTAGAGAAAAAGGTAAGGTGAGTACTGTGAAAGGGGTCGAATATAACAACCAGGGGGGCCATGGTAGTTTGAAGTCAGAAGTCAAATGCCGGTTAATAGACTTTTTTGGCGTATGAGTATATGTTGCCCAGGGTGCACCACGTGGAGGTTAGTCTATCGCACACCCTGTGCATACGAATATCGCTTGTTGGATTTCTCCATTCATGACTAGGAGAGCGGACACTCCATGCCGCTAACCAAGCGGCCTTCATAAATTCGCTTTCCACATAGAACTACTTTTAAATGCTTTGAACGATCAAACTAAAGGTCGGATATTTAATCTGCTACTCTCCTTTTAAGTACCCAATGGTTAAAAGAAGTCCACATAAAAAATGTCCAATTTTTAAATTTGGGTCAGGAGATGAGGAGGCAGTTAACCAACCCGAGGTTGAGAAAGAAGAGCTAACTGAGAAGTTCTAAAGTTACGATTTCGCTGTTTTATCAAGCAACCAACCTCCTTCTAAATGGCTGATTCAGCTGCTGCTGTCTCTGGGATGTATGAATGTGTATAAGTTTGTATGTTTGAAGGTTGACAATCGTTGGCGGAAGCATCAAAGAGGGAGAGTGAGGGCAAGAGAAGGCAGGAAGAAAATGGAGGCGATAGAGGTGGTGGTGGTGGTGGATTGCTAGACTGTCGGATGCAAAAGAAAGATGCATCACAAAAAGCAGGATACCGCTGGTGTGTGCGTCCGTGTGTGTCCTACGTACAGGCGACTTGCGGTTGTAAGAATACTACTATTGCTACTGATACGCTGACACTGCTGACACTACGTGTCTGATGTGCATGACTGAGAGAATAGCAGAGGTACGCATGCGAGAACGTCAGCTGCTGCTTCAACTTTTCGCGGCTTCTTTTGTTCATAGTTTCGCCACCCCACTCGTGTTTGTCTTCACGGACATCCACTCATTCCTCATAGCATTCGTTCTACTCCCGCTTCTTAGCTCCCAGAACATTCCTGTCATAAACACTTATATGACATTTTGTCTGCATGCGTGTAATGCTACTGCTATATTCCCCCCCCCCCCCCCCCTCCAAACTTTTAAAACCTAACCTCAGCGGTTTGTAGCAATAACGCTCAACTTCACTTCGAAAAACACTTTCTGCCTATCAAGTTTGAGAGAATGGTATTATTGTGGAGCCTCCATTGTTAGATAGACTTTACCAATGCGATTAACCATTTTGCTTACTGGGTGCGCGCCGATGGACACCAATGTTGAAACCGTTTCATAGGCGAGTCTCTTATCTCAAATTTAAATAAACAGTGCAAAGGTGACAAATGAAGGGCTTTCTAACAGGTAGAGATAAGAATCGTTTGAAATATTGATGTTATCGTTACCATAAATCCGGACAGGTATCCCGATCTATCTTAGTCTTTCAATATTTCCCTAACCAGGTTTGTTTTTGTAAAGAGAAGTTTTAACCTTTTAAAACGATTTTAAAAAACAGAGCTAAAACTAATGAGGAATAATCGAACAATTCGAATGCCATAATAAATTGCTTCATTCGTTCTATAAACTGGAGGTATGTAGTAAATTCTACTTGAAATTCTTAATTAAATGCACATGAATGGTTTGATTTCGTTCTTGTCTAAACAACCATCTCGTTTGTGCATCGATGTAAGAAAGGAGCAGAAATTAGACGGAAGAAACAATAACAGAACAGCCCATTCTTTTTAGCAATGGCCTATCATTTCAGATAACAGAATGTGCAGGTAAAAGTGGATGAGAGAAAGAAATAAAGTAGAAATTTTGGATTACTAAGAGTGCAGGAAGGAGGGGAAGCAATATTGACACGAAAATGACGAACTAATAGCAGTTAGGCCAGTACCCATATGGGGCTATCTTCAGTGGTTACTCTCTTTTTCCTCTCTTGGTAGAGCAATCAGTATACAGTGGATGTGGTTCTCTCTACCCCCAAATCCTGCTGACTGGTCCAGGAAACCAACCAAATAGCCTGTTTTGCATTTTTTCCCCAGCATAGACACTCCCTTCTTTTTCATGCTAGTGTAAAATGTATCTCACTATTCCTCCTCCTCCTCCTCTCTCTCTCTTAACAAATAGAGCGCGCAGAAATTTTGGATTCTGAGATATCATGAAACGGATATGCCACAAATGATAATTATAAAAATCATATGACGTTTGAAGGCGAGCGCTCAATTGGCAATTAGATGATGTCCTAGAACATTGGAAAAACGTGACGTTGCATGCGTCAGGTGTTGTTATTTATCCTGACACTCCCTCCAAAACATTAGCCCTCTTAAAGCTCGTCATTGTGGCGAATAAGGTGATATCCACCAGAAAGACTAAAAAATGGTGTTAGCTAATTAAATAATTCGAAGTGGGTTGGCGCTTTTTCCTCCTACACTTAGCTAATCACTGACTAATCCAATGTCGTATTTTCCTCAACAGGTAATGCAATTTGCTTAATTATTTGCTTTTGTGCGCCTTTTGCTGGCCTCCTAACCACGCTCTCAATACACTTGAGTTTTTTCTGCTTGTCGATTGCTAAAGCATTCTTGTTGAAAAATTAGTTCTTTAGGTGTCAATCAACCTAGTGAATGTCCATTTTTATTGGTAGGAGTCAGATGGGTTGTAAATTCCTCAAATCGGAGTATATACACCTGAGTGAGAAACGCTGACTTAAATAAAAGACGAGCCTTATTGAACAAAAATTTCGACTGAAAATTCAAACTAAAATAGTAGAGATGAGAGAAGGAATAAATGCTTATACCGGTATGAAGAAAGGAATTAAGCGTGAATGAAATCGGATTTAAACAAGGAGAAAGAATTAAAGAAAGCCGAACGTATGAAAGAAGAAGGCGAAGTGCATGTCCTTGACAATTGTTTAAATTAATAAGATAAATTAAAGTATTCTAACTACCCGAAATTTCAAGTGCTGAATATATCCCCTTTGCATCAAATCTGTTTCCCTGTGATGCGAAAAAAGAATTACTTTAATGACATTATTGGCATCAAACATACACCTAAAATGAATTAACGAAAGAACTTTGTCTAGTTTTCCATTGGTAACAAGTAGCATTGGTAATTAATGCTATTACTAAAAGACTGACGAATGTTAGAGAGATGAAAAATACGATTAGAAAATGGAATTGAGAGATTGGTATCCTGATAAGATGGGAATTTTGGAAATATTAGGATTACATAGATAGGGATTCAGTGACTATGCCACCACTTCCCCTGGCCAATAATCAAAGTTCCCGACTACACCAGAGGCAGCCGCCGTTGCCGCCCGTTTGCAAAGGCACGCATTCCATCTACTTTCTTGTATGCATTCCTCCTCCACTCACTCACACTCTTCTTCCCCTCTCCTTCGCCTAATTCCTGTATCAACTGCTATTGCAATCATAACAGAGAGGGCAAATACTACAGCATAGCACACGTCAAAATGTTGTCTTCTTCCTGCCTGCCCCTCTCTATCGTTGTCTGTCGCCCTTATTACTGTTTTTCCTTCATAGTACCAGCAGCTCTTTTACCTTCACAAATATGCATATTCCATCCTATCACTTCCTTTCAAACTAGAGTTATAACGCCAGTAGAGGTATTAAACGTCAGATAGTGCGTATGTGGCTACCCTTCAATCTTGCAATTCAATAGTGGGGAAGATTTTAGGATTGAGATTCATAAATGATAATATTGAAGGGTAGAATAACGTTAAAGCATGGAAAAGCTAGCCCCAAACACAAGAACATGGAGAGGTAACACTTTCATAGGGAATAGAAGGGCATTCGAATGAAAGGAGGCGAAAAGTCAAGAGGAAAAGCCACTGTCAATATAATAATAAAAGGCCAAATACCCATGTTTCCTCCTCCTCCTCTTTTTCATACTCGATGCCAAAACGATGCTAGTTTCATATCCACTCTTGGCAAAAAAAGCTCTACTACCTCTTTCTCCAACGTGAGATAGAGAGAAGTGTGGTGAAAATGCCCAGAAAGGGCAAAAATGATGCCGATATCGAGTGATAATAATCCCACGAACCCT